CCAGCCAACATCCACCAATTGCATCCTTCCAGCAAGTGTGTGAGCTTAGGAGTGAGCCTTGCTCAGCTGAGCCTTCTGATGAGGACCCCAGCCCTAACATGCTCTTTGCTAGCATCCTCTTGAAGACTTGAAAGCAGAGAATCCATCTAACCTTGGGCCCCGACTCCTGACCTGTCACAGACTCTGGGAGGTAACAAACTTGTTGTCTTTACCGTGATTGCAGTTGCAGGGGAGATGTGTGTATTCACATACCTTAAACAGAGTTTACAGTGCTGGTTGAGGAGTGCTTGGTAGTCAATGATAAGGGCATGCGTGCAAAACTCTAATGCTCCTTACTACAGTGGAGGTTAGAATAATTATTATCATTCCATTTCCTCTGAGAGAAGATGCTCACAGGGGTTAAGTATCTTGCTCAAAATGGCTCTGCTGGGTGGCAGCTCCCGTCTGAATGCTCAGGGCTTTTATTGCAACACAAAGCGGTGACGCTTTGTGCTCTGTGTGCATGGTAACAGACTCTGCTCTGGTCAAGAGACAGGCATCTCTGTCAGTGGGCAGTGCAGAGGGGAGTGACATGAGCTAGATGCTGAGAATGTTGAGGATTGCCAAGGGTTTAAGGAGGGGCGAGGGGTAATTTATGCAAATGTGATGTAGCATTGAATAGGGGCCTGGGTGCTCTTGGAACACTGAGGTGTGTGTGGCTCTGACTTAGCAGGTTGGAGTCACTGGAGTCATGCCACACAGGGCCATTCTGATCGTCTGGATAATGTCCACCGAGTAGATACCGTCCTTTAGGTGGGTGGAGGGTGCTGGGCACGGAGTGCCATGTTCACGTTTGCATTTCAGATAGACTCTCTAGCTGGGGCTGGGGAGAGGATGGAGAGAAGGGAAGAGGCAGAACAGTACGTGGGGACAGACCCATGCATGACAGTAGGAAGTGCTGGGAAGCCAGAGAGAAATGGGCCTCACCGCAGGCTGGTCTGAATGGGGGGCACAGAACTGAAAGGGGTCTTATCCTGAGTCTCGACGATACGTGTCTGTGTCCAAGAAGGATGCTGAGTGTGCTGTGCTCTCTCTCTCTGTGCCCCCAGCCTCCCACAAACCTCCCAGGCTCAGAAGGGAGTAGATGCCCCATCTGTGCTGTGGAATGAACTACTGACAGACATTTGTCCATCTATTGTGTTCATGGTGTTCTCAGGATGCCACACCTCAAGGAGCTGGTGGAGAAGGCAGCCTAGAATAGGATTCCAGGGTTAGCCTGCACAGCCCTTCCTCTGGGATTTTAGAGTTGGCTTCTAGGGGTAGAGTGATCCTGAAACTTGGGCCAGCCCCAACTTTGGCCTCCATTGCTTTCGGAGGTCATTTTCACGGTGTCCTGGCTGGAAGCTGGGTGTAAGACATAGGGGTAAGGCATTTTGGGGTCTCTTGAGCTGTCTGTGTTGGTTGTCTCCTGTTACTGGTGGTGCTAATGGACAGAAAAAGGTAGACAGATGGAAACTGCTGTACAAGGTTTTTTCTTTGTTGTCATGGTTGGTTTTGTACATCTAAGCATTTGCATCATACAAAGTGGGGAACACAGCCATGGCTTTTGGTCAGATTCAAGGGAGTGCAGGGGGTGGCCCTCCCCTCCCCCAGATACTGACACATTAAAAGGAAGCAGAGCAACAAGGACAGAGCACAGTTGTGGGAAAGGGGTTCCCCCACATGAGCAGGATGGTCCATCTCACCTGGGTCTCAGTAGAACTCCCCACCTCCATCCTGGGGCCAGGAGGAGCACCTCTGTTCTCTCCTTGGTGAAAAGGATAGGGTAACAGGAATGGGGAATAAAGCATGGACATTTGCTGGGAGGCATACCCTTAGGTCTGGGATATATCCCCCATGGGAGCCAGTCAGACCCCCAGGCCTCCCAGTATAGCCAAAGGCTGGCTAAACCTTAGAAAGATGGAACAGGGTGTTGTGGGTGGGCAACTTGGCTAGCTGGATACTAGCCCTGGGGCTGGAGGTCCCATGCCATCCTTACCCCAGCCACCAGTCTTTAGGATGGCTGCTTTGCCCACAGCCTCCCCACGTATAAGGGGCTCTGGGCTGCAGCGCTGTCTCTTTCTGCTCCTCATTTTCTCTCTCTTACACGCCTGGGACGGCCTATAGACCTGCCAGTCCCCCTGAAGGAGGCACTCATGAAGCTTCGCTGCCAAGGACTTCCTTTTCGGTGCTTTGGAGCTGACATGGAGGATATGCCCTTTGGACACCTCATGCCATCACCACAGAGACCCAGAGAGTCCCCTGACTCCCTCCTCTCTGATGCTGAGTTCCAGGTGCAGGAGCCTGGTGGCTTTCCCCAAGAGTGCACCTGCCTACGTCAGTGACGTGCCTCATGCTATTTCCAGGAACCTGCTGTGCTCTGTGTGTGTGTGTGTGTGTGTGTGTGTGTGTGTGTGTGTGCATGTGTGTGTGCGTGTGTGCGTGTGTCTGTGTGTGTGCGTGTGTGCGTGTGTCTCTGTGTGTGCGTGTGTGTCCATGAGTGAATTCTAGAGCCTCTTTTCTACGTGTCACTTGCATATTGCATTTCTGCATGATGTGCTGGTATGTTCATTCTGTGGCCACGCACACACCTCTTGCTCTAGGCACATCAGGTGAACAAACATCCTTTACCCTGCTCAAGTGTCCAAGTTTTGTCCTCCCAAGAATGTCATACATAGAATTCTTTAAGGGTCACCCATTGTTTTCTCCTCACAGTCAGGTCTGTGTCAGAAATGTCAATCTTTGTATTCCCTGGGCTTTGGTGGGTGGAACCAGGTATATACCAAGTAGAAATTCTCTCTCTTGCTTATACCCCCATGTAGTGAGCTATCCACCCTGCCCACACCTGTAGTGCTGACCATACCAAGAACACCCCCAAAGACCTCAAAATCTGCTGTCTGGGCAGGGAAAAGAGGAGACTTAGACCTAGACTAAGCCAGCTCAGCCTGAAGGGCTGTGGTGGAGATGAAAAGCCCCAAGCCCACTCTGGGTGCTCAAAGGGGCCATGGGAACTACCAAGGACACCAGTTGAAGGATCTGGATTCCCTCAGGCCCATGTGGGTTGTCTGGCATGGCTGTGTTCTCTTGCTTATCTGCAGGTCCTTGGGTCTTGGTTTCTACTACCCGTGTGGTGCTCTGTGCCCTGCTATCACCTTTGAGGTCTAAGGGTCCCTGTCAAGGGGAAGGCCTTTCTTAACACTGGTACCCATCCCTGTGTTCTGGTGGGAGTCTTCCTCAGGGTTTAGGGAGGTCTGGGGTCCCTGGCCTGGTCCCTGCCTGTCTCTGGCCCAGGACCCCAAGGCTCTTGAGAATGACCATCCTGCCCAGGATAGAAGACAGAAACAAGCAGACAACTGGGGTGCAAGATGGCTCCCCATCACAGACATAGACACAAACACTGGCCCCTGTGGGATGACACAGGGGTCAAGGGGGTGGGGAGAAGGGTAAGTCCCAGGAGCTGGGGCTGCTGAGGCCCTGCTCCTTAGAGAAGGGTCAGACCAGGGGACTTGTCTGGTTCCCTAAACATATGGATTGTTTAGTCTCCTCTTGAAAGTATTGCGGTCTAACTGATATGGCTTTAACTATTGGAAACGGACAGGAAGACATGTGTCTTCTCTGAAATAAAAGCAAAAGTCCACTAAAATGGAAAACCTGCAAGAATGCAATGGGGCCAGTGGGACAGAGGCTTCGGGAGTGGGCAAGTCGCCCCCCCCACACCGGGCCCCTGCTTTTGGGATAGGCCCTGGTGGGGGCCCAGCATGGCTTCCTGGGGCACTGCCTGGGTCTGTCCCAGTAGCATTCTGAGGACCTCAGGCAGGAAACCCCAAGGGTAGGAGGACTCTAGGCCAAGGGAAGGTCTCCTGTCAGATGGGCTACCTGTGACTAATGGTCTCAGGGCTGGGAGGGGCATCTTACTGTGTGGTTCTTGCTGTGCAAGCACAGACACGCATACAACTGCCTGTTTTAGACCCACACACACGATCACCAGTCTTGGCCCACCTGACAGTTCTCTCAAACACACATTTCTGCATCTAACACGGAACTGTCACTCTTGACACACATGCCATTCTGAAAATACATGCATATACAGGCTAACACATGCAATCTTTAAACACATGAGATGGCTGGCACACACTGAGAACATAATTGAAACTCAGGCACATCACAGCCCACAAACACATATACACATTGTACATCATATAAACAACCCCTAACAAGGAGGTACGATGACTAACACACACATGCAATCTCAAGACGCCACACTCTAACCGTACAGAGATGCATGATGGGGTTTGCCGTATGTTATCTGGTGTGTGTGTGTGTGTGTGTGTGTGTGTGTGTGTGTGAACTCACACATTCATCCCTCTTTTGCCCCTCCTCCTCCATCCCTGCTCCATCTCCACACGTCACACAGCAGGCAGTCTCAACAAGGCAGGGTGTGAGGACAGATGGCAGCCCTATACACCCCAAAGGAGAGCTGATTCTTGGCCAGTAGGATGAATGTCAGGTGGGACTTGGCTTTTCCCCAGCTGCTTGGGGCTTTGACCAAGAAGGGTCCCCCTGGGGACCACAGGGGTTTGGAAGCACACGGACAGGACATGGAAGGGAGAAGGGTGGCTAGGAATGGGGGCAGTTTGGCTGTACCAATGACGGGTCCTATGGCACAGACCATCACTGCCCGATGGCTCCAAGTGTTTTCTGGGGGCCTGGGCAGCCCCTTGGCTGGGCAAACTGGGGCCTAGCCTGGCAGTGGGGTCCCAGGGCCTAAGTCAGATGAGGGAGAATAAGGGTTGCCTTGCCCTAGGCTCCTCCATAGATGTGCTAAAGTCCAAAGAGGATCCATTTGGAGGGAGCAGCTTGGCAGGGGCCGTGCTGCTTTAGGTAGGGGTTGGGGAGGGGTGTGCTCCTGGGTAAGTGTCACCAGGAAGAGGGAAGAGGACAGCCCAAGCCTCTTGCCCAGACTCTAACCTGGCCAGACCCAGCTACAGGCTCTCAGGGCTAGGTTCTCTCAGGGCAGGCTCACTGGGAACAGCCTTCTTCAGAGCCAGGCCACTCAGTGCCTCTGCCCTGACCTGGACTCCCACTGGGGATTCAGAGGGCAAAGGTCAGCATGCTGGGCAGGGCTGGAATGTGTCATTACTTTGGCTGGCTGGGGACAGTGGTCCTCCTGGCAGTGGGGAGCATGGAGGAATGTATGGGGGGAGCAACCACACTAACACAGACCTTGGGCTTCTGGAGGGGCACCCAGTGCCTTTGGTTCAATGTTCCCTTCTGGAGTAGAGCTGTCTTCCTTTTTAAAGCGATTTGGGAGTGAAACAGGACTAGAAACCCTGGCATGAAGGGAGTGTAAAAGGAGTGCAGAGGGGAGGTGCCCCTGGCTAGGGAAAGGGGGCAGAGGCCAACTGAGGTTTTTCCCCTTTGGAGTTGATACTTAACCGAATAAAAAGAAAAGAAAGACCACCACCAACAAAAACGTGTCCAGGATGCTCTCCTCCTCCTCCTCCTCCTCATCCCCACATCCAGCGGGGATGGCTTTCTTGGGTCGGGTCAGGCTCCCCTCACAGGGCTGTTCCAGGGCTGCCTTCTCCTCGGCCTCCTTCTCTTCTTTCTTCTTCAGCCCATACTGGGGAAGAGACAGACAGGGTGGAGTTGAGTCATAGGAAGGAGAGCTTGGCTTTCTCACTCATTCAGACTTGGGGGATGGGTCTCATCTAACTCTCCAGGAAAAGCTGCTTTCCCCGGAGAACCGAACCCAGTTCTTAGTAGATGACTAACATAAAAGATTATATTCTAGCCTGGTGGTGGTGGCGCACGCCTTTAGTTCCAGCACTCGGGAGGCAGAGGCAGGCAGATCTCTGTGAGTTCAAGGCCAGCCTGGCCTACAGAGTGAGTTCCAGGACATCCAGGACCGTTACACAGGAGAAACTCTGCCTCCAAAAACCAAATCAAAACATAAAAAAGACCGTACCCCAGTTTCTTTTAAAATTAACACTTCTTGTTAATACCCCTTTGTCCTTTTGAAATCCCGAGTTGGTCTTTCTATCTTCTGACACGTTCTATTTTGCGGCACAGCTGGCTGATTGCAGGCTCCTTACAGTGTTACTTTGCAGCATGGTGCTATCAGACAAGCGCTCCATACCTGGTGGTCAGGGCATCATGGAAAGTTTCTCTAATATGTACAGATTCTGAATTCCACTTTTATTTGGTCCCAGGAGCTCTGGCAGGCATGTTGGGCCTGTTGCGTCTCCTGTGTGCTCATATAGTTACCGCACAATCCTTGAGGGCATGTTTCAAAGACAAGCATTTTCCTGACGAGAGTGATGCTCAGAGAGAACTGGGTCTAAGATGAGAGCTGGGAGTCAGGGGAGGTGGGGCTTTCAGGGGATGCTGACCTTGTCTCGGATCTGCTGCCGGACCTTCTCACGCTCGGCTTCCATGCGGGCATGTTTGGCCTTGCGCTCTTCCTCCTGCTGCCGTAGGGCCTCCTGTCGTTCTTCCTCCTTCTTCTGCGCGTCAGGGTCCTTCTCCTCCTCTCCCCCCAGCATCTTCCCCATGTCCTTGGTGGCCCCTGCAGGGATGTGAGGTGATCAGGGGAAGGAGAGGGTGTGGTCAGTTGGGGAGAGAAGGCAGGTGGTTTGAGGTCCCCTTTCTCCCGGGTCCGGGGTGCATGGAGGAGGGTGGCGGGGCTCACCTCCAAGGGCTTGCTTCATGACAAAGTCCATCCTGCAGGCTTTGGTCAGTGCTTTCTAGCCCGGGGCTGAATTCGCATTCAACACCTCCTGGCTGGTCTGCCTCCGGGAAATGATCCCACCTGCAAAAGAGGATGGGGAGGGGTCTGATGGAAAGCTCTCTTCCCAGGCAGGGCGGAAGAGACTCACACGTGGTAGCCTTACTGTTGTTCTCACAGGGCATCGCCCATCGAGGACAGGGCTCAGTGCCCCGTCAGGAAGAAAGAAGAGACGGAAGGGACGTATTTACTGAGCATGTATTATCGGCTAGGCATGGATGAATGTGCAAGTAAGTAGCTTCTGGATCCTATTTTGTATTATTTTATTAAATAGTAAATAAAAAAGATTTATTCATTTTTATTTTATGTATATGAGTATTTTGTCTGCAGGTAGATTTGTGCCCCCTGTGAGTGTAGAGCCTGTGAAGCCAGAAGAGGGCTCCCAAGAACTGTGGTTATAGACGGCTGTGAGCCACCATGTGGGGGCTGGGAATAGAAGTTGGGTCCTCTGCCAAAGCAGTCTGCACTCGTAACCTCTGAGCCGTCTCTCCAGCCCGGTTCCTATCTTGAAGTCGTTCTTTTGAACATATTATTTCTAAGGAAATTGAAGCCGGGAGCAATGGACTGGAATTTGGGCTTGGAAGAGCTGCGTTTTAATGACAGCCTCATTCATTATTTGTCATGAGACCTTCAACAAGTGACACCCCTTCCTCACACTTTCAGTTTCCTCTTTCCTGAAAAGGAAGTGGCAGGGTCTGGGCTGCTACAGAGAGCAGAAAGGAGACTCGCCAAGAAGATGAGCATGTGCTAGTGTCCCCAGAAAATGAGAGGTACATGGGGGAAAAAGGTATAGCTAGCATGAACGGGGACCTGCCCAGACTCTGGAGATTAGAGAAATAAATGATTTGTTATTGTAGCATATATATAAGTTTTGTGTTTTAAAGCTTAATGTTAATTTTATTTTGAATTACATATGAGGGCATTGGGGACATTATCATCTTGGCATTTCTGCCTGTACAGAGGGAGGTCCACGTAGGCACCCTGCTAATCCTGCTTCCTCTACCCTTCCCCTTAAATTACTGATTTTCAGTTCTTATTATATTTTTATTGCTGTTTTGTTGTCTCAGAAGATTTTCTCCAAATGAAGTCATAATTGGAATGCAGTGCGCAGAATTTGTGAAAGTAGGGCTCGGGCTAACCCAATGGTGGCAGCGGGGTCTGCAGAGTTGAGCATAGGGATCTTTCTTCCGGAGCCCCCACACTTCTGAGAATCGACCCTGATGCTCCAACCTAGAGCTCTCCTACTTTAATTGTTGAGTTGTCCTGATTCCTTAAAAATGTTTATTTTAACTCATATTTATGGGCTTTTGTCTGCATACCACACATGTGCCTTCCACAAAAGGGTATCAAAAGCAGGGCGGTAGTGGCGCACACCTTTATTCCCAGCACTAGGGAGGCAGAGGCAGCTGGATTTCTATTGAGTTCCAGGCTAGCCTGGTCTACTGAGCAAATTCCAGCACAGCCTCCAAAGCTACAGAGAAACCCTGCCTAGAAAAACAAAACAAAACAAAAAAGAGGGTATCAAAGCCCCTGGCACTGTGGTTACAGATGGTTATGAGCTATCATGTGGGTGCTGGGAATTGAACTTGGGTCCTCTGCAAGAACAGCAAGTGCTCTTAACCCCCATGTGTCTCTTCAGCCCTGAGTTATACTGATTATTTAACAGACAAGGTGGCTGCCAATCTCTCTGTTCTGCATCTATGAACTGTCCTAAATGCGACATAGGTTGGAGGTTAACTGGGACTAGGCTTCCCTCACTCCCTGGGCCTTTCATCTTTTATAGACTTCATTAAATCTCTATTACTTTATGGGAAGAAAAAAAAGGGTTCAGGGAAATGATGGTAGAGAATTTTACCAGGCTGGTTATTGCAACAAAGTTGAATTCAAGGTCACAGGCTATTGGTTGATGGTTTCCCCTCGTTTCTTTCAAAATGAGAGGTCATTAGCAGTCTGTGAGTTTTCCTAATAAGGGATCCAAGAATGTATCCATAGGATTAGATCACTTAATGGGCTGCTTTTGGTGGAGGAAAACCATAATGTACTAGATGAAAGCGTTCTCAGCCTTTTGGCATCAGACATAACTGGTTAAAGATTCTAGACTGGGCCAAATCTCTGAAAAAGTGTTAGCTTGTTCCGGATGGGGATGTATCACAGTGATCTTTGCACTCATATTTAAAGGGAAAAAATCCGGGTCAAGTGCCTGGAGATGTGGCCAGAGCTTATACAAATGGCAGCCATTGCTGACTACGTATTTATGGGACTACACTAAGTCTAAGGGGCACATGGGCTTCCCAGGAAAGGTGAGAGAACCCACCCTGACCCTGAAATCTGAGACGGAAGGTTTCTCAGCTCTGTTGAGATGTTTCCCATTGATTTTAGACCTCGGGAAAGGACTTAATTTCTAAGAACAGGGAACCAACAGTGAACAAATTGAGTGATTTCAGGAACTCTTGAGTTTCTACGCAGTGTTTACATAGAGCTCAAAGACTTGCCAGGTGGCAGTGGAAGACGCAGGACTCTAATTTGAGATGATTCAGATTGGGAGGCAGGACACCCGGGCTGTGGCTCTGCTCTGTCCTGACTCGCTGCACGTCCCTCTGGGGACCAGCTACTCTCCCACAGCCGTCCCCAGTGCCTCTGCTGAGGCGCTGTCTCCATGTTTAAATGCTGACCTATGCACCGCACCCGAAACCCCTTCCCGTCTTGGGTCTGTAACTCCCTTCTTTCCTCTCCCCTCCCTCCTTTCTTCTTCTCACGTCTCTCCTGTCTCCTCATCACTCCCTTTTTCTTACTGACTCATGTTCCACTTGCTTCTCAGACTCTGACCTCAGCCCCTGCTTCTGTTTCTTCTGCCAACTTCCTCTTGGTAGGGTTTATTCAGAATACAGGCCTTATTGGTCACTGACATAGATGACACCTAGACCTCTTTTCTGGGCTTTAGATCCCCGAATTTATTCATGTAGCAAGCATTACTTGAGGACCTACTACGTGTTAATCAGTATCTTAGACACTGAAGGTGTACCAGTGAATTAGAGAGGCAAACCTGTGCCCATAAGCAGATTACATTCTGAGGTGTCTGAGTGCATGCATATGGGGAAATGCACAGAAAAGAGATGCATTTATGTTCTCCTGGGTGTTCTGTGGACACTACTCAAATGCAATGCTCCATTCATCAATAATTACCTCCTTATCTGGACACTTTTGCATTCATGCATTGATTCAGTCATGGTCATCACTGCTATGCTAGCCACCACCACCCCCCATCTTCAAACTACATCTGTCAAAGACTGAATCTTCTCAATGCGTATATCTTTATTGCTCCAGGTGGGTCCTAAGTAATTCTCAGGATTACTTGCTGGGATTTTTGAGTCTACTCTGAAGTTCTGTTGTCCAATCTTAGTGTGGCCCTCTTAGCTGTTAGGCAGTCTCTTTGCTCATATGGTTGAGATAGTCTAAGTGACTTCAGAGGCCCAACCTGCTCCTCACCCCAACCTCTTATCAGGAGACCTCCCTCCAGGTCAGGCCCTTTCTTCCAGCGAGACAGCTCTTTGAAACTGAGTCTTCTCTATAAAAGAAGGGCTACAGGGCCAGTGTGAAGGTTAGAAATCATCTGTGGGATGTGTTTGTCACGTGGCAGGTGCTCAGTAAATGAAAGCTATTATTCAAGTGATTAATGATGGCAATTGCACACACCTGCAACCTCCCCTCTCCTAGCTCCAGGGAACTCCCTCCTCCTACATGAAGCCAATCTAGATTTTTCTCCGTGTTCCTTTATCCACGAATCACCACGCCTTCCTAAGTCCTTAGTGTCCTTTTCCTAGTTTCTTGGGTCTCCTCCCCTTTCCACCCCTTTCCTTGAACAATGCACCTCTTTGATTGCCTGTCCTCTACTGAGCCAGAGTCCCAACTCCTCGTCTGAGCTTCCTCCTCGTCTCCTGGGGAAGCTCTACTGCTCCCCAGATCAGCTGTCTTAGCACACAGCCCAGAAGCTACCTTAATCAGCGTGGCTTGGAGACCTGTGCTTGACCAGGGTCGTCCATAGCCCACGGCCTCCTCTCCTTTTTAACCCCTGATGCTGATCACTGTGCCCCTCGTCATTTCAGCCTTCTCACTCTGAATTCCATGACACAGCAATCTTGTGGTTTTCATTCTCCCCTGACAGGTCCCTCCCTTTTCTCTCTTTTGCTGGTTCCCTTCTTTCTCCAGGCAAACTCTCCCTTCTCCTTCCCTCTGCTCCTCCCATGGAAACCTCCCATCTGTGCCTACTGATTTAGGATCTTAGTTACACACACACACACACACACACACACACACACACACACACACACACACACGTCTTTCTCTCTCAAGCCTGCAGATTTTTAACCCTTTGCTGCATAGCATTACACCTGCCATTTCCAAGCCAGTCTCTGGAAGATCAATCCCATCCTTGCCGGGCTCCCATCTCGTCCCCCAGCATGCCTTGTTTAAAATGCTTCAACCAAAAACTCCAGCCAGTATTTCTCATCCGTACACACGCGCTCAATTACTCATCCTGTACTCTGAGTACCTGCTGTCTACCAGGCACCATGAAAGAGAACAAGGGCGTTCTCCAACTCTGGTTCTCACAGCCTTCAGTTAACTGGGTAGGTAGAAACTGCCTCGCAGAACATAAAGATTTGGTGACTATGATTGAGATAGAGGCACAGGGACGAATTCTGGACATGGCTCGCCCCACCCTCTCCCTCCTATTGCTTCAGTGTCTTGGTTCATGGCTCTGTCTGTTCTCTAGCTCTTACCTGTCTTCCACATGATCCTCAGGTTAAGCTTCCTAAAAGGCACACACAAACCTACCACCCTGCACCGGCTCCCCACGGCCCTGTTAAACTCACCACAGTCATGCTCTAACCTTCAAACCCTGCAGCCAAGCACCTGCCATAGCTCTCTGCCTCTCATGTCTCACCTCTTGTAATGGCTGCATCTTAACCAGACCCCCCCCACACACATCACTTCCACTTCCACGAGGCACGGTGATTTGGGCATATGATTCCCACAGCCTTAGAGCCC